GCACATGCTGCAGCAACAACAGCATCTACAGAAATCACTGCCACCGTCAATTCCGATGCTAGCACAGCAAACACATGTTCATCAGCCTACGCTATGCCATCAGCCGAATCAGCAGACAGTTTATCCGGCCATTAGTGCGACTGGAGCTGGGGCCTATTCCCCGGCCTTCTCTGGACAACTGAGCGCCAGTTCGGCGTACCACCTTTTGCAGGCTGGACACCATCAAGCTCACTTCTACTTTCTACCATCGACAACTGATTATTCTGGTCTCCCATCGAATTTTACACATCCAGTTTTCCTTCCATCATTGCCACTGCCGCCTCTACCATCTTCAATTTCTCCAGCCACGCAGGTCGTATCGCCGGCGACTCAACCACCTACCTCGTTGATGGCGCTGCGCAGATCGACAACTGAAAGGTCACTGACTGCCTACACAAAGACCCAGTCAGAGGAAAATAGTACAGCCTCACTTTGTGGCTATTCTGAAATGGGAGTCAACGAAGAAGAAGGATCTGATGAGGCGGTCCATTCGGACAGAGGCGATTTTGATCGGGACGGACCCGAGAAGGAGAAGATAAAAGCCGTATATCCGGCAAGCACTCAGTTGCAAGCTGAGACCAACAATGCTAATAGGGAGAGTGATAATGGGGAGGATGGTCAGCAGTCTGAATATTTTGAAGACGTAACAAACCTAAAAAGGGTTATAGTTTCAGACCTTACCAACGAAAATGTATACATGAATGACGGATACCTAAGTGAAGACAATGAAGAGGCACAGACAGAGGAAGAAACGGAGGTAGAGACTAACGAAGAGGAAAACGGAAAGAAAGAGGACAATCAAGAGGAGAGTAGAGATAAAGATGAGCAGGAAGGAGTTAAGCATGGGGAAACAAAATACAAGAGTGGAAATAATGAAGTCGGGGGGCTGATGGTCCGCGATCAAGATGGGCTTGATTTAGTGGAAGAGGAGGAATGCAAAGAGATAGAAGAGATGGGAGGAATCGAGGAAGAAATGTTTGTCGTCACCTATGTGGAGACAGCACCATCATACGGACCATCGCTCGAGATAATTTGCCATACTGCCTCGGTAGACTTTGCTAGGACAGCCCTATTCAATAGTCAAAACAGCCTATTGCACTGAAATCCTTCGATTGCTTATCCACTCTTGAAACTTCGTAATCCAGCTTGAATGAATAACAGCTGAACCCATCTCCCCGACCCTGATAAAACTCTACTTCCTAATGTCTTTCCTCAAATTACTTTAAATGATTTTGAAAATTGGCTAAAATTATAGCATCCAATTACACCGTGGCGATTTGCTCCATCTTACAATTCTTCTCATTATGGCATCAGAAAAAAATTGGAATCGACTGGTTGGCCACCTATTTTCATAAGTTCTCGGGGAGTAAAAGAGAATTGTAATCAAATCAGTTCCAGGCGAAAGAATAGAATCCAGCGCTTGGTTTAAAATGGCGAATTTTCAACTGACCCTAATTAAGTTGATGCACTTTGACTAATCGTATGCATTTTTTCCGCTTATTTAGGCTATTTTCTTTGGCTATTCTTTTGTACGATTTAAAAAGATCCATGCGCCAATCCCACCGGATGAATGAAGCCCATTGCTGGACTGCATAAACATTTCCACTGGCTCGGTATTCGGGGCAAAGTCCTTCAGCGAACACTTTTCGAGCTCGGCACAATAATCGATGAGCTGCAAAAAATCCAAATATACTCAAGGCTAGATCGACATCGAGACTCCACAAAAAACATGAGTTAATGGGGCATTATTGTAGCTCGTGATGCATTGAAACGCAACTTTGCATCATTGATAACTTCCATTTAATAATTAGAAATATATGCTATCGGCGCACATAAAAAGGAAATAAATTTGGGATTTATTGCAACTCATAGTTATACCTTTTTTCGTTTTTAAGTAGAGTTTTCTAGACTACCAGTGGATCTTTTGTTCATCCTATTCAGCTGAATTTTTCAACAGTCAACTGAGAGAGCCTTGCATTGCCATTAAATTTCGCATAGCCTAGCCTCCCAAAATAGTATTCCCATTTAGGCTGGACTGGACTGCACTTTCTGCTTCGCCTGGGTCTCATCAACACCCCAACGAGACCTGAACCCGCTGGTATTCTCGAAAACCTAGTTAAAAGTTGAAATAAGTAATATAGTCGACTTTAATAGCAAATAAAACCTTGCTTCCGCCACAATCTCATCAAAGAAAGTGACCCAAGAGCATTCATGGCAGCGTGCTATCATGTTTAATGTACCTGGGTTCGAGTACCGCAAGATTTGTGATGATAGATGAGCGAGGTCGAAACTGCCATCTGGTCCAACTTGGATAAGAACAACTTTCGGGAAGCAATGCTGCGTGAAATTCCTGGCAAGCATAATTATGAGAACATTTAAGTACTGGCCATTTCATCAACCTAAACGAGATAGAGGAAACACAGTCTTTATCTAG